GTTTCTTATCTTCCGGTTAAGTATTTATGCCTTTAGTAAATCTGTGTGCAATAATTTACAGTTATCAAACAATTTAAAAGTTGTTTAAGTTTAAGTGCCGCTAAATCCTAATAATTTTGCCATGGGTTATTGCTTGTTTACATTTGAAACAGCAGAATAGTAGATTTGTTGCCAATCTAGAGAAAGTAACCTTTGCAATAAAAAAGATAACGCCTTTTTTTATTATTGCGAATTAAATCATGATTAATCCATTCTGGAATTTATTCGAGGAAATAAGTGTTAAGGTTTACATCCTAATTTTTAATACAGATGTTTTGATTTTTAACGTATTTTTGCCTTGTTGCGAAGTGAGAACGAAATGAATTTAATGAGAAATACTGAATCTCTATGAAAAAAACTGCTTCTTTTTTTTAAAATTTCTTTTATTCATCGTTTTAGATTTATTATACTATTCGAATGGAACATGTGGCAAAAATTAGATAATTCTTCAGATGACATAAACTTTGGGCATTCTGAGTTATAAAAATGAATAAAATGTAACACTGTTAAGTGAACCTAGCGCCAGAGTGTCGCTATGTTAAACAAATATATTGAATTTTAAGGAGAGCATTTATTCTGTTGTGGTTTATGCGCTATTGACGAAGTAGATTTAATTCAAGCCCAATACGTTTAAATGAAATGCAAGAAAAAATGCGTGTAATTTAATATTCCGCACAAGGAAGTCATGCGATTTACACATAAGATCTTTTTTTCTTGATTCTGAAAGTCTCACGAACTTTCCAACCAAAATTTAAAAGGCAGGCCAACTTTCTAAACGAAAGCTCTACTACGCGAACATATAAGTGTTAGTTATGTAGTCAAAATATTATTCGGAGATTTATACAAATTTAATGGAAAACAAAGGCATATCGGGAACATTAGGTTTCTTCTTTTATTTATCTTTAGATGCTTTGCCTGAAAATGCTGTAATTTTAAACAATACACTTGTATTAAATTCATGTTATGAGAAGCGCGCTTTATAAAATAATGAAATTTTATTTTATTTTACATTTACAGGTTGGAGCTCTATACTAGATATTTCGATGTAGTACAAGCTAGGCATATAGCCACTAGAAACAGAATAGGTAAATTAATTTATCTTTTTACTTGGCACTGTTATAAACTTGTTAAACCTTATGGGTAGTGATTTAGAAACATTTGTATTTCAATAGCAGAATGAACAGCTGTTCATTAAATATTTAATATTTATTCATTTTAATAGGTAAAAGAGGAATTTTGTTCCTTACACAGGCACGAACACATGAACAATTACATATATCATTTCTGCGACAAAATTCTGTTTTCCTCATTATCTATGCAACGAAACTTGATGAAATTTGCATCGTTCAAGGAGTCTTTTCATTAGCTACATCTAGGTAACAATTACATAATATCAAAGCAAATAATTCATTGATAACTAAGGAACAAAATCTAGATGCCATATTAATTGCTATATAATTATGCCTCTGAATGATGTTCAATCCGAATCTTAGGTGATATACGGATTTAACATCATTGAGGGGGATTCGTTTAATAAATCCATATGCTGTTTCCGAGTGGGCTACTTTATTACATAAATTCTTATACAACTAGACGCTTCCACGGTCACTCTTTTCTTTCGAGAGCATTCGGTTTAACGAGTTAGACATGCAGCACAGAAAGCTAATGGCTTAAAAAAAGTAAAATAAAGATATAAATATATCGCCGCTTTTAAAATAAAACAACCTGAATCCCTGAACGATGCTACATTGCAACTGTCTTACCTCGTCCTCACCACAGGAAATCTTCAGTATCCCTGTTTTGTTCAATGGAGAGCACTTGCATAGTCAGCATAGTCCACTCCTAAGGCCAGAACTCCCTTTTATTGTGGAGTTACCTAATCGGCGGCCACCGTTGATTCCTATGAAGGGAGGACCAGTTACAACCACGTCTTCTCCGGGATTCGAATCCAGTCCCTTCGGCACCGTAGTAGGCTCCCCTAACCGTTATACTGTTTGGAAGGCTATTCAGTATGCCTGATATCCATTTTCTGATTTATGTTGAAGGAATAATTATATTTTATGTTGTTTACTTTTATGTAAATAATAACCTTTAAATGAAGCATAATCAATGTACAATAAAACACTAATCTGTATGCTTGACCTCCATTCCCTAACTCTGCATACACTGCCGCAAGAATCGAATTGCTTCAAATATTTCCTACTGTATGGCATCCTGAATCCCATATTGGTAAACTGGTTTGGTATACCACACCTACAGGGTTGCTGATCCCCGTTCCAGAAGGTTAGTCTCGGTGGAAGGAGCTCGACTCCAAATATGGTTTCGAAGGCAGGCTTGTAATAAAGGTCCGGTGAGTGAACAGGTTACCGGGATCTAGTCAGGTGCGTTTTCAAGCAGGTAATTAGTAGTTTGGTGGCTCAATGCGGTAAGCTAGATGCAATCTTAAGATGACTCTGCCCAAAGCGAGTAGATGCTGGTGGGTGGGTGCAGTATGGAAAACTGTTTAATTTCCGACGCCTGTAACATTGTACAAGAAAAAGCTTGCGTCGAATAGATTCGATCTTCACTTTAAAGTAACGGGGTCCAGTTAGGCTTAATATGCTTTCAGTTTGTTTTATTCATGGTAGGTACATGAAGTAAAGAAGCAGTTGAGGCTTTCTTTCCCTTAAGTCATAGAGATGTTTCCTAGATCATTCAGGTCTTCGATTAATTCATTTTCATTAATTATTACCAGCATAACAATTTTTAGCGTTTTATTTGTTTGTCTGCAACTCCTAGAAGTGAGAATGTGTATTATTTTCAACGATTATTTTTTTTATAATGCGATTGGTGTCACCATCTGTAGAGGTGATATTTAATTAGTTTTTATGAGGTTTCCTCGAATGCATTGGCCAAAAGGAATATGAAGATCTAAGAATTTCTTTGGTTCGTCTAATTTATCAATATATTATAGATGAGACGTATTTTTCTAGTCATAATTGATAGTAGTTTGATTATTCATGACGATACTGTCATCTCTGCTCACTCATGATAACAGCAGGCCTGCTATTATGCTTAAGCTGTCATTGCGTGTCCTCTGGAGGAGAAAATCCTTTATCTGTGCATTAAAGCCAAAGACTGGGAGGGCTGGACAGGCGACATAATTTAAACAAATGTTCTTGTGTTGCATGGGTATAAAAGGCTCTTGAATGAAATAAATTGGAATTATGTATTACTACGAGACTTTTTTCGTTTTCCTCGTAACCTATGTGAGCTCTGATCCATTGCAGACTGAATATACAATTGCTACTGAAGATATAAGTTCTCAAATAGCATATATCAGCTCACATTCAGAGGCGCCACCATAAATAACTGCAATAATAGAGATGCTGTTTATGCGTAAAACTGTTTTAAAGTTTATTCTGCAACCCAAGTTTACTGCTTTGATAACTGCAAATAATTCTGCTTAAAAGACAGAATTAAGGTTTCTCAATCTAGTTGACCATTGCAAAATGTAATTATTCCCCATCTTCGCGCATAAATCACTGCCTGTACAATTCTCAATCTTTTAGCTATCGATATACATTTCAAGTTCTGCTGTCACTTCTGCTCTATCACTGATAGAGTAGAAGGTATCACAGTTTCTAACTGCGAAGGCCTCGTAGTTATATCTTTCAGGATGGTATTTTGCCAATGATACTAGTTTTTCAATGTTCGCGTAGGTGACATCGTGTGTGGTGACGTCTACTGTTATTCTTAAGACGTTTGCCACGATTTTCCATTTTTGTGCTACCGTATATAGTAATTTAAGACTGCAAGATTTAGTATTGCAGTCCTGTATGGTGATAAAGAGGGCTATCCGCCTTTGCAGGCTGACAAATGCTTTTGTTTTATGTGCATTTACATGCCACACCAAGCTGATGCTCTATGGCAAATGGTTGGCATATATATTGTTAGCAATTGTTGTAGCATTAGAAGTGATCGTTGGTCTGATATCGTAGCTATCTGTAGCTGCTGTTTAGTTTTTGGTTTGTAAATGCGCATCGATAAGTGAACCGACCCTTTGAATATTCGATCTTAAACTAACTTACATCCTTTTTATTTTTTGATGACATATGTATTTGTGGGAATAAGTTCTTCCATATCCATTGGTCCAGAAATGTTCGTAGAAATCGCAGTATCTGTCTTCATTAACATACTGAATGGAAAATAATTTCCTGTTAAATGAAGCTCCGAGAAGAGAATGCTGTCTGTTGAAGGGTTACCAGATAACAATGAGCTCACTCGAAAGAGATTATATCTCAAGCTTGGAGGGTAATCAAACTTTTATAAGCATTCAGCTAAACCAAGTGAAATAGACTGCAGTTAAACACTTTAAACAACAGCAGTTTGCAAGCATGTCAGAAAGTACCGATACGACAAGCAATAATAATAGCGTGTGTGTGTGTGTGATTATGGCAAAGCCTTGAGGCTATCGCAGGTGAGGATGCCTTCGTGAACTTTCTAAGGGAAACTGGCTCGTATACAGTTTACACATGGGGAAAACCACGAAAACACATGCACCAGCCTTTCGCGGGATTCGAACCTCGGACCGAACTACCAGTGTTCAGCGACATATCGCTCGGCCCTGGTGAGCTCAATAATAATACATCACTGCTGACAACTTTCATTTCTCGAAAAAGTCACGCCAGCTAGGCAACTTTAAATAAAAATCGAGGTATCCTTAAATTATTATTAAATTGTGACATCAATTAATTTCAATTTCAGCTCAATCCAAATTTCAAATTTTTAAGAATTTATACTTCACCAAAATTGAATAGACACATTTTCTGAATTTGGAAACAAAAATTAGACTTCTGCTTCTAGACGCATTCATCCAGTTTTTAACTTATATTTCAAAACACCGAATTGACTTTTAACCAGACTTTTATACTAGATTTCTTTGTTATAATTTATGCTTCATCAATAGTGTTCCTTTTGCAGAAATTGCTGTGTCGAACTTACAGTATCCCTTTTTCGAACTGGATAGACCTCAGTAAGTCTCTAATATACCTCATACAACAACTCTTCAGACTTAAATTCATTTACGGTGCGCTTATTTGTATTGCTAAAATTTTACTAATTTTATTTTGATTGGTAGGAAAATTTTTCACTGATTTGTATATTTCTTTCAGGTACCTGAATTTTGGAGCCATTGGTGCTGTTATTGGTCACGAATTTGAGCATGGACTTCATGGCAGAAGTATAGTAGTCATTTAGTTAAAATAATAAAAGAACAGCAAACTAATATTAAGCGCCAGCAATTAAATCATCAGGAAAACATATGACAGATATTATTTTCTAAATTTAAATAACACAATAAACATTGTACTGAGTAATCGTTAAGGCAAATTAAATCGAATATATGAATAGGAAACTAATGCAAGCGCGTAGCAATTAAGTTAGGATACAAAAGTAACAAATTTACTGCTTCCAAGTAAACAAAAGTTTGAAATAAAAACTAAACTGATCTCTTCTTAAAAATTATTGATCGCTTCAAATGTACGTTAAGAAAAACATATAATAAGGAAACGAACCTAAATCTTCAGATAAATACAAAATTAGAAAAGGTCCAAAGATCTGAAAGGAATTATAAGTTGCAGAGACATTAGGTATTTTTGAAAGCAGAAGAGAGCCCTCGTCGGGACTCGAACCACTGACCTCTTGAATACGCACCGAGCGTGCTGATCACTACATCACGAAGACATGCAAAGAAGGCGGGAGAAATACCTTATTTGCTCCTTCTTTTAGAGGGCGACTGGTGATTTAAGGGACCCAGTCGCCAAAACCTGGGTGTGGAGAATCCACATCCAACACGTTTTTAGTTCAGGCTCCTCTGTAGAAACATTAGGTATTTTTTGGAAGCAGGCAAGATGAAAAATTAGCAAACGCCTTCGCCGGGAATCGAACCACGGACCTCTGGAATATACCGCCCAACGTGCAGAACCACTACACCACGAAGGCACGCTAGGAAAGCGGGATAAATACCTTATAAACCGACCACACAATTTCTTCCTTTCGTAAGCCGTGGTATATAAAAATGAAACACAAAACCTATTTTTACACTGTTTTTAGAATGACAACTTCCTGGAAAATCAGCTTTAAAATTCTTACGATCTATTCTATTCTGTTTTATTCTACATAACATTCTTTTATATATCTATTCTGTTACATTGTGTCGCAGTCTATTCTTTTCTGCTTTGTTCTCTTATTTCCTACTTTTTCATTATGTTTCTTTATGTTCTATTATATTCGATGATCTCTTTTTTTCCTATTCTCTTTTACTCTGTTCTCTTTTTTTCTTTTCTAGTTTACTTCTATTATATTTTATTCTGTTGTATACTCTGATCTGTACTTCATTAGTTATTATATAATAGTTGTGATCTATATTGTATTCCGTTCTGTAGTTTTCTGTTCCATATTATGTTCTAATCTATATTTTATTGAATTCTATAGTACAGTACACTCCCGATTATCCGCGGAATTGGATGGCGCGGCAGCCGCGGATAAATAAAATCGCGGATAATCCGAAAAAAGCTAAAAACGGGTATAGCAAAAGAGAAAACAGTCATTCCAACTTTGAAAAATCGTTTCATGTACAATAAAACGTAAAATAAACAGCAGGAACTATTTAATAAACGCTTAATATTTTAGTATATCACTCAAAACTAACCTAAAATGCGTTTTGTTAATGAAAACAGAAAAGTGCTTTGTACTTACGAGAGGCGTCAAGGATACACAGAAAAATTAAAACATATGTACTGTTTTAATACAGTAATGTATTATGTAATTACAAGAGCATAACTGTAAAACTACACCTTTTAGAAGAAATCAGTTATTTGTGTTTGCTCTTGGTTTGGAAGCATTTTCTCTCGATCCGAGATTGCATTTTTCGTAGCATAAGTTTCTCGGCCAACTCCGCGTCGTCTTGTTCTTCCAAATAGCTCAGCAGTCCGTCGACTTGCTGCAAAGCCGCTTCATGAGTCTTCCGCATCTGCACAGTGGGCTCTTCTTCGCCTTCACTCCTCTCTCCTTTATTCTCGGTCTCTTCCCTTGCTTTCTTCATAATTTTCTTCATAATCATCTGTCAAGCGTTCGAAGCCAGGTTCGTTGACGTTACACTCCAACGACTCGTTAATGTTTTCAGCATCGACGTTCTCACCACCCGCAGCTGTTTTCACCATATCGGCAAGAGTTGCCGTGGGCGTGTCTACATCTTCATTCTCTTCTTCACAACTCAAAGGGGTTAGGCTGTTGTTGGCTTCAACATTAGGCATGAGTTTTCTCCATGATTTATGAGGGTTGACGGTTTCACTGAGTCCCATGCATATGCAATATCGTAGATGCTGTCCAAGATTGAGTAGTGTTTCCAAAACTCTTTCAGATCATAACCTTCTTCAATTTTGGTCATTAGCACCTTGGTTCGGTATGTTCTCTTCATTGTTGCAATGACTCCTTGGTCCATGGGTTGGATTTCGCAGTAACGTTTCGGGAGGAGTGAGAAACGTTGCAAGAATTTGTCCATCAGAAGACTTTAGCGTCCATCAGAAGACTTAGCTTGTTGCTGGGTGAGAAGGTGCGTTGTCGATCAATAGCACAGCCTTTTCAGGCAGGTTTTTCGATTTAAGATGTTTACGCACTTGAAGAACAAAGATTTTTTCGAACCATCTTGAAAAATGTGTCGGTTCATCCATCCCCCCTTTTTCTGGGGGGATTAAAGTAATAAATGGGCAAATTTTCTATCCTTGTGCCTTTGGAAGATCTCGGTTTTTTTTTTTTTTACTTTTCATTGACAACAAGTCTAAGTTTGTGTCCACCGGCAGCGTTACTGCAAGACATGATAGTGATCCTTTCCTTGCTACTTTTGGCCCGCCGCTTTACTTTCACTTTCAGATGCTAAAGTGCGAGTGCCGAAGATATTTCCACAAAAGTCCCGATTCGTCGGCATTGTAAATTTGTTCAAAAGATAGCTCTTCTTTAAAAAAAATTCTTCAAATTCATGGTGGAAATCATCGGCTGCTTGTTGGTCACCATTAAGTTTCTCCTCATGAAGTCCAATTTCTCGAATTCCATGTCGCTGTTTAAAACGAGTCAACGAGCCCGAAGACGCATCAAAATTTCCTTTCAGGCCTAACAACTCAAAAAAGGTTTTTGCCTCGCCGCAATGATAGGACCATTTACAGGAGTACCCTCTTTTCGAACTTGAGCTAACCACTATGTCAATGCCGTTCTAGCTCATCAAAGGTAACCCTTCATAGTTTTTCGCGTTTTCATTGCGGAAGCACTGTCCGACATTGATGCAAAGTTCACCAGTTTGTCTTTTTGCTTTAGAATGTCACGCACTATTGTTTCCGCGATTCCGTAATCCAATTCCATCTGCTGCCTTGTAGCGTAGCGCCGTTTGCTACTTTGGAAATTAATTCTAGTTTTTGCGCAATCATCAACACAACCTTCTTTCGTTTTCTTGACATTTTAAATCGGTAGCGAAAAACACAAAACCACAAAACACAATAAAAGATAAGAAATTAATTCCGACCGGTTCGCAAACACTATCAGGCTTAAACTAACAATGGCGAGTGGGAGGAAGTGGACGTGTCAGCAAGATTAAGACGAGAGAGGGCGGTGGAGCGGGCACTGCAAGGGTGAGTAAGAAATCACTTACTCATCAGAGGGGGAGGTTCCGAGAAGGCCTGGGATATTTTTGTTATAAATAAGCACGATGTTTAGCGAATTTAACGTTTCGCTCAGTTTTGTGTCTTTGCTATACACTTGTAAAAAAAAATAAATAAATAAAAAAAAAAAAAAAAATTTTCGGCAAGCGCGGATAATTCGCTCACCGCATAATCCGCCCGCGGATAATCGGGAGTCTACTGTATTATGTTCTGTCTTCTCATATGTTTTTATTCTACATTCTTTTCAATTCCATATTTAGTCCTACGAAGAAGAAACTGCAGGTATATAATTCTGCAAGCTTTGGATAAAGTCAGTGAAAATAACAATTTTACTGCTCAATTTGATTATTGCCGGTGATTTATTATATTATACTAAATATTTATATATTCATGTTCATAATGTTGTTCTGGGAGATATTTTGTTAAAGCAGTATTATTTGAAATACCATATCATGGTTAAAATACATTTGAATACATGCTTTCATCTGAATACTTACATTCTTGAAGCAAAAGTAGGTTGTCTACTTCTGCATCTCTCATAGCTTAGCCATTACGTCTTTAGGGATAATTTGAATGGTCTGTAAATAGATCTATAGAATCGGCTTTGAAAAAATATAGCAGGCTCAGAAAAGCAATCTGGCAGATAAGTTGGCTGATAAGAATAGAGATCTCTTTCTTATCAATGAAATCTCAGCTTTCTTTAGACGTTCTTCCCTAAAAGTCCAGCATCGCATCAAGTTTTCCAACAGTGCTTCCCAGAGTCTTCATAATAATCAAAAAAGCTGGTGTGTAAACACCGTTTGACTTCCTTGTAGAGAATACTAAATTATACGCAATTTTCCTGCATTTCATTTAGCATTATTTCCTCGAATTTCATAAGAGATATATCTCTCAATTTATTAATTCAGTTCTCGCTTCGCGGCTAGGCAAAAATACATAAAGACTCAAAATATTTTCATTAAATATTGAAAGATATAGAAAACATAAAAACAATTTAAATTACAGTTTCTACGAAAAAAACAAGCGATTCAGCCGGCAAGCAAGAAGGCAGATTTTTCAGTGCTAAGTTTAAAGTATAAACAAATATGGCTGTTACGAAAAAAATTAGGCTTAACCGCACTTAAACAACTATTAAATTGCTGATAATTCTACAAATATTGCATGCAGTTTAATTAAAGGCATAAAAACCTTAACCGGAAGATAAGAACAATATAATTCGATTATTTTTAAAGCAAAAACTGCACAATTTACCCACATATAAGAATAAAAAGACAGCTCACAGAGCCGAGTAACAGAGTAGGTATATATATATATATATATATATATATATGGTGCGGCCGGTTGCAAGCAAAAAGGGCGGTGCATAACTACACGTTATAGCAGTCCTATATCCTAAATTTCAAAGTTCCGAGCCTACTCGCCTTTGAGCTATGCGAGATACATACGTAGTAACGTACAGAGGCAACGAAAAAAAATCTCTTCTGAATCCATTTTAAATCAGTTTATAATTCTTTTTGTGAAAACGTCCTTTATTTTGTCCTTACGTACAGATGCCACATTGTTAAATTACATTCGATAGTAGTCAAAATGGATATTTCCGTTTAAATATGGTACCCGAAATTTTTCGCGATTACAATACTTCCTTTACTTTGTACAAGGAAGTAAAAAGTGAGGAACATCTCTTTTCTTTCGATGAGCCTGACAACATTGTTGAAACAGGTTTTAAGTGATGGAGTTATGTTAGAAGGCTCTCTCTTCTCATATAATTAATTGTATAATATAAAAAGATTTCGGAATTGATCCTGTAAAATCATTTGGTTAATTGGAAGCAGAAAAGATGAAAAATATGCAACCGTCTTCGCCGGGAATCGAACCACGGACCTTTGGAATACCGGCCCAGCGTGCTACCGTTCCACGAAGGTACGCTAGGGAAGTGGGAGAAATACCTTATAATCCTAGCACCTTTTATGGATTTTTCTGCTTGTTATTGAACTTCAGCAGAATAATTCTGATAATTCTCAGTGTCAACGTCGAACGCTCAATAGCTAGTATGTTCATCGCTATATTACAAGAGTGAAGAAGGTCGGTTTCCCCGCGTTCAGCGTTACTGAACATGAGAAAAACACCAATGCTTAATTTATGGAGGCTTAAAACATCGCTTCAAATCACGCCTTCTCCACAAGGTCGATGCCAGCGGTATTTCTTCATGCTTCATCAAAACTGATAATTCTTTCAGCTGATTGGAGAAATACAAGAAACTTGAATTCTGTAGCCCAGCTTCAGTGAATACCGCCGCTAATCTGCCGGTGATCTAAAATGACCTGGAATTATTTACGTTCTCTCCTTGATAAAAAAAAAAAAAAAAAAAAAAAAAAAAACATCAGAGACTACTTTGGCATTTTAGAGGGAGATGAAATTATATCAAATTTTTATTCAAGAGATGCCTTAGGGAATTCGATGGGTGCTTTCGAGAAAATTTCGCTACAATTTCACATGTTACGATTAAAATCACGATCTCTTTTAAAAGTTATCCAAAACTGTCTGCCGATAACGATCGGTAAATCATACTGAAAGAACCTAATGATAGGGTACATAGCCCTTAAGTTAAAGCAATTCAAGAAAAAGACCGCGAATGATGATTTTAACTTCCGATCTTAACGGAACTAGAACGGATTGACAAAAACAGGAAATTTTATAAAGAGAAATTTCTGCTCTCTCTCCATTGAGATTCGTAACTATCAGATCTCAGGTGTCGATGATTATAATATAGATCCTAGTGCTTTGGCTATGGACGATTAGGATGTAACAATCTCCCATGCTACCTAACCTGCTCCCAGGGTCATTTAACTTAACACATGCAATCACCCAAAAGATGGCACACCTACGTACATCATATTCATTTAGTCACTTCCCGAAATGCCCATTTTATCCCAAGAGTAGAAGTAAAAAGGTGAAAAGTTCATTTCAGATTCAGTTTTAAACTTGATGAATTACTCTACTCCTAAGAATTCATCTGCTAAGGAATGCTCTCGGGCGCCAGAGTAATCGAACTTATACATCATCTATGAGATTATTAAAAACTCCGATTTTCCAAATTTCTTTGGAAAATTGTTGAGACTTTTAACCATCCAAAACCATCCACAACCCCTCTTTAAAAGTTACATCATTCAGCAGGACTTGTAAATTTGAAGTTTTCATTTAACAAGACGATAATTAGCTCAAAAGATTTACATAACCTCTCTCTGCTACTGCTGTGATGGTTTGCCTTTTTGGGCCTTTTTAGAACTTTTCTCCAGCGTTAACGATAACGCCACATTTAAATTTCCGATGAAATGAATTATCAGCGAGATTCTCCACTCCATGTTCATCGTTTTCAAGACCTTGATGAGCTCTCTGTACAGCCTGGCCAATGTTTCTGCAACAGCATTTACGATAGCATTGTCCTTTTTACAAAGATGCTGATTTGGGACATTCTTCGTGACCATGTCATGTTTTTGGATCTAGAAGATTAAGTGCCTTTTCTTTTATTCTCTGTAAGAGATCAACACTATAAATTCCCTATAGCTCAGGAACCCTTTATGTTATTTTATTAGATAATATGACAGAGATGCTAAGTTGTAGAAGCTGTACAGTACAAAACATTATCCAAGTATACTATATCGATATATAGAGATATTATTATTTGATTATATAAAGTTTACTCAATCTACGATTTCTCACAGCCTTCATTGAGGATATCTTTTGCGTATTATGCTCTGCATACAATTTGAAATGCTTTGCACATAATTTGAAAGCCATTGCTTATGCAAATGCTTTGTTTATGTGTATGAACATAATTTGCATTTATGTGTATAGCACATAATTTGGAACTATATTTTATATTTGGCATCTAATTTGAAAGCTTTTGGATGTTATTGCCAAAAGTTTTCAAATGCTTACTAAAATGTTTTGAGCTAAACTGCTTTATATATATATATATATATATAAACACCTGTCTACGTTTTGCATAAGTTCTCCTAAATAATCTTCAAATTTTATTTTAATATTATTTAAAGCATGTTATTTAACAGTAACCTGAAGATATTTACAAGCAATTAAATAAAATTACAGTTATGATTTAGTTAGAAATCCCATTCTTATGATATTCGTTAAGTAACAGAGAAAACATATTTATTACCTTTCTAATTTTAATAATTATTACATTTATAGGTCAATATTATGTTAAGAGTGGCGAGAAGTTTTTCTGGTGGAGAAATGAAACACAAGCAAATTTGAGAATCAGATACAAGTGCTTCATTGACCAATATAATAATTACAGTATTAATGGAAAAAAGGTGATATATATTTAAGATTTTGTCTCTTGTCTCTCTGTGCATGTTTATATATATATATATATATGTTTATATAGATATATATATATAAACATGCACAGATATATATAATATATAATATATATATATATATATATATATATATATAAACATGCACAGAGATGATTCTTCGTGATGATTTAACTCCAGTCCCCGTTAAAACATTATTAACATTTTGCTTTCAAATTACTTCAAAACATCTTTCAAAATATAACTTACCAGTATGGATGCACACTTTTAAAATAATTCTACTTTAATTAAACTTAGGAGATAATATAATCAATTAATCAATACTGTTTAGGAAATAAATTATGCGTATTTTAATGTATATAAATGACATAAAAATGAGTAACACAAAGTATGTGAATAAAGTAGTTTAAGTGTCATAAGATTTCTGTGTAACTGGAAATATCTATATATACAATATGCAAGTTGCCAGCAAAATAATCATCAAAACATGGAGCAAATGAAAATATCCGATGAACTGAAAAATTTAGTGTATAAAAACTGTAAATAAGAGATTAATAAAATCATTGCTATTAGAAATTGACTAACATGCCTTAACGTATTAGATTTAGGGACAACGCGTGACATGCAAATATGTCATGTTGCGTGTGAATTTACAGTTAATTACATCTTCGAATCAAACAAATTTATTTAAACGTATAGAACGCCAACGCTCTCATGCCTGACTTTTGTTTTCATAGAACAGCAACAATGAGGTTGCCATATATAGAAGAGAATCTTATGAGTTGGAATATCATGTGCAATGCGCAAAAAAAAAGGGGGGGACAGTTCTATATCTCCTGTTCTACTCTGCCGATTGACGAAATTCAACTTGCATTTTTCATGTTTCGAAAGCGCAACTTAGGATATGTATTAGATTTATGTATCGCATTGTTCTAATATAGGTATTTTGACACACAATCGCACTTTTTCTTAAATGACATGCCAATTTTTTCCACATTTCGATTCTACGACTCAAATTATGCCAAATTTTGTAACGAGTAGTTTTTTTTAGAACATTAGCTCGCAGAATTTTAGCTCCTCCATGGTAATTGAATTTGATCTCCTTTTTTTTAAAACTTATTTAATTCCTTGTTAAAAAGTTTGAAATTTAGGCTTAATCCAAATATGATTCGCACATTTTTTATGATTTATTTAAAAATAATTTTTATAAATTTTTCGCAAATAATTTTTTTTTTATAACCTGCAAAATTTTTACCGTCATCTTAAAGAAGATGTATTTCTAAGCGCACCTGCAAAAAAGTAGAATTTTTTGTTCAAAATTTCCTAAAAATATACGTGAATTTACATTTTGGCGCGTTTTGAAATTTGGCATATTCATTGTAAGCGATAATAACTCTAAATGTGGACAACGCACTTTGTTAAAATTTTTTGAAAGAATAAACGTTGCATTTTTTCCCCTCGTGCAGAGTAAAAAAATGGATACAGAAGTAGGTTACTATGAAATGAAAAGTTCACCAAGTGAATTATTCTTGGTGTAAACTGAAAAGTGGCAAGATAATTTTTTTAATTTCTCTATACATTTCTCACCATAAATTACGAAATTCGATATCTAGGCATAATATGAGTCACAGAATCAAAGTATGGAAAACAATTAGTGTGTTATTTCAGAAAAAAGTGCGATTTTGTGTCAAAATACCTATATGAGAACAACGGCTATGCATAAATCTAATATACAACCTAAGTGGCGCTTTCGAAACATCAAAAACGCAATTTGAATTTCATCAATCGGACCTGTAGAACGGGAGATATAGAACTGACCTTTTTTTTTCACAGTGTACATCTAAAAAGCAAGCACAGATGCAACAGAAATGATGTATTACCGATCACGCGTATGAAGGTACAGCTTGAACCTTATGTGAGTTAGAGCATATGAAAAAGAAATCAACTAAATGCCAGTTTAAGATTAAAAAATGTCCAGCTCACTCTTATGTAACTTTTCGAAACAGCCGAAAGCGAAGCGAGACAAGCCAGTTTGGAATGAAATTAATATCTTGCTTCATTTTTGTTCTAATTCATTTTGCTTATCTTGTTTGTAATACTAAGACACATTTTTAATACTAAGGGAACTAAACTAATAGTGTTCCTTTTTGCGTCAAAACACGAATTTAAAGCATGAAAATAGTAATAATAATATTATACTTGGCCCTATATCTTTTTAAAGTCCAAATTTTGTTTTTATATTTGTTTCCTAATGCACATTTCCTATTATATTTTTAGCCCGAAGTTTCAAATGGTTGTATTACTAGTTTTAATATCAAATTCTCCCGTTTCACTAATTTTATTTCCACTTCTCAAGAAAAATAGAATTTTGGTCTAATTTACCATTACTTTCAGCAGGGAGGTCTCTCTTCAAGTGTCATCTTTCAAATTACTCACTAAAATCTCTGAATTTAAAACGCAGAGGACCATCCGTTGCAGCTTTCTCCAAGTCCTCTTATTACATGTATGTGGTGGTTTTAAGCTTCATATGTCAGATTGTGCGAATTAGAAACAATTTAGAAAAACCTTCCACAGTTATCTTAAGACGAATTTATGTTACCTTACCAAATCGCGCTATTGGGTTACAAACCAAAATACTTTTATCTCGTAATACATGCTTTCCTGAATCAGTACTCTTTCTGCTTAAGAATCAATACTCTTTTTGTTTCTGTTACTCCTCCCCAGAGATGCAGTGATTGAAATGAGAGGGCCATTTATCGGTGAAGAAACGAATTGCCTCTGCACACATACACATACACACAGATATATATAACAAACTTAAATAAAATCTCAAAATTAAATTAGAAAACCTGAAGTGAAATCATCTGCTTTAAGCTGCAGTAGTGCAGTAATAATAATTATAATCAAACAAAAGCAAAGAAAATTCAAATATCTCATTTAGTTTTGCTAAGCCAGACAAATTTACTGTTATGAAAAATTGCACAAAGTGCAAGCAATTACTGTCTGAATTGATAAAGAGAAAAAAAAATAAATCAAAATCCTTTGGAAAATTTGAATTATAATTTATAAACCAAAACAAAACGAGAGCAATTCTAAAATAATCTGATTAAAAAAGCGGTGAAAGACGGAAATCGAATAAAAACTACCTGAGAAACATGTGAAATGCAAAATATTTTAGAATATTTTTAATAAAATAAAAAATAAATGGACTAAATTCGTTTCTCGGAACTTACTCTTCAGAGTTAAATGTGTAGACATGTAAAAAAAAAAAAATTGATCTGGGCTTAAGATGACGAATGCAAATTCAGAAATTTATATTTAGATAAATTTTAATCAGGAAATTAAAAAAAATACAATTAAAAGAATATGTGTGTGTGGGCGGGTGTTTTTATAGAATAACCTTTTATTTGTAATTGATATGATAATTAATGCAATAAAAGGAGAAAAATAGTAGATTAATAATTATACATACACTAAACTAGTAGCAGAGCTTCAGTCCCGGCATAAGTAAGCCGTACATCATTGAATGCTCTGACACGTCTCCTTCTACCTTTGTACCGACATGAGAAACATGCTTGCTATTACTTTTAAACTGCAACTGCGTGTCCCTGGAGGGGAAATATCTACTATCTGTACACCTCAGTCAAAGAAAGAGAAGGCTGAACAGGCGGCACAATTTAAACAAATGGTTCTTAGAAACATATACTGTGCCAGATATTATAGGAAATTTTTGCAGAATATATGCAAGTATCAAAATAATAATTCACAAAATTATTTTCACATTACAAATTAACGATTTAGACCATCTGAGGAAAATATGCGCGTTACAGATCAAACATTATGTGAGAATGAGCAATATTCTTCACAGTAGACAGTTTTGAGTTAAAAGTAATGCGCCCAAATACTATCAGTCTAAATCACTCATGACTATATGCACCTAATGTGCACTATCATGTGCCTAAATATTATCAGCCGAAAGGATTAAATATTATCAGCCGAAAGGCCTAAATATTATCAGCATTAGCATATGCAATTACATTGAGAGCTTTCTTTAAACTTTTCCATTTTTCACTAATCGAGCTACCCAAGGTATAAGATTATACTATTCAGAGAGATATAAGAGATGCACGTCCTGTGTTAGGGTGCATTCATGTAAGTAATGTCTCAAATTGCCTATTTTACTTCAGGACCACTGCTCCGATCCGAACGTATGTAGATAGATTGCCGTAGGGAAGTACCTAGTGTACAATTGGGTCAGCATGGAGCTTTCTCATTTTTAGGCCGACAAGACTAGTCATGAGTGATATGCACTGTTGTCATGAGTGATATGCACTGTTGTCATGAGTGATATGCACTGTTGTCATGAGTGATATGCACTGTTGTCATGAGTGATATGCATATAGTCATGAGTGATATGCAATGTTGTCATTGCCTTTGCTACCTATTGGCACCAGAAAGTATCTAAAAGTCAACGTTATACAGTCCGAGTCAGTCTTGAGAGGACCTTTAAAGCCAGTTTACATTTCTTTGAGTAGACTTTAGCGTGTCTCTCGCTACGACTTCTCTGACGCTCACTTCAGCCGAACAGAAACGTAGGCGAGATGAGTCAGAGATTCCGTTTCTGCTTCGAACGAATCTGAAATGAAAATTTCTACTGAAACTGTATCCAGGCAATAACTCCGAGCGGTTGTTCGCACAGACGTCGTGCCCAAGTTTTTGCATCTTGTCGAAAATGCCGAGATAAAGCGATAATCAAACTATGGCATTTTTTAATGTATAGGCAGCTTGTGAAGTACTATGGAATACTTTATTGTGTGAATATAAATAAAACAAATCGTAAACAGAAAGCGTATGAGGGTATTATTAACATGTTAAAATTTGAGGTTATTCGAATTAGAGAGCTCAAGCAGAAGATTAATAATTTTCGTTCATCTTCATACACAGAAAATGGCCTCACGCACTTCTGGAATAAATATGCTGATAGTGCATTTTGGTACTCGAAATAAATATTACAGAGAACTGTAGGATTCACCTGTCGTCAGAAACTTTTTTCTTTTCTTTTTTTTATGTTGTCTCACTTTCAACAACAGGAGATTTTTCTCCTCTTGTTGAAAGAGTTCCAGTCTTACACAATAACTGGATTAGTTGTTGAAAATGTCTTGTTCTATATTAATGATTTGCGAAGGAGAATGATTTCAATTCATATGAAAACTGCGTTACGTATCAGCTAAAAAAAATAAGCGTGTAATGCCTGAAGCATTTAAATGCTTTAATCACGTCTTGCATTAGTGCTGAGACATTTACTATATTGGTATGGAGAGTTGATCCTATCATACGCTGATTCCCTATTAACATACGCTGATACCATAATACGATACCCTTTCTACATTTACATTCTGTCAGCCATTCATCAGTTGTCGCTCCAGATCTGCGATATTTTGTGGCGACCGAATCTGGGTGCCTACCATGCCCCAGACATGCTCGATTGGTGAAAAGTCTGGTGACCTTGCTAGCCAAGGAAGAGTATCAACCACACGGAGACAGTCCAGAGATATGCGAGCGGTATGTGGTCTGGCATTATCTTGTTGAAAAATGGCCCCATGATGACGTGATATGAAGGGTAACACAACCGGCCTCAAGATGGTATCAACATATCGTTCAGCTGTTAACGATGTACGGAGGAGGACTAAAGATGACCTGCTTTCATAAGAAATAGCGCCCCACAACATCACATTAGGGGTTATGGCTGTATGCCTTTGTAAAACAAAGGCTGATTGGGACATCTTGCCCCGTCCTCTCCAGACACGAACACAGTGTTCATCTGCTTCAAGAGTGAAGCGGGATTCATCGCTGAACACTATACGATGCCTGTCTGATGGCAGCCATGATGAGTGGCTGCGGCACCACTCCGGACGACTACGCCGATGTTGTGGGGTCAAACGCAAACGTCTTAAAGGCCTCTGTTAGAGTATCCCCGCCTCATACAAGCGCCGCGGGATGGTGGACGGTACCACGGGAGGTATGGACGTGTCTGTAATGCGTTGAATAGTCGAGAAAAATACCGTTGGGGCGGTTCGGGCCTGGAGAATAATCCTCCTATCTTGCCTCGCATTTGTGCTTCTTGGCCTTCCAGAATCTTCATTTCGTCGGCAATTTCTTTGTAGCAACCATTGCTGCCAACATGTTTCCACAGCTGTGTCTGAACGCTGAAGGTGGCGGCCTGTTGCTCGGTATGACCATTCAGTTTCACGCAACCCTACAATGCGACCACGTTCGTAGTCGTTTAGTTGTCTGCAAGATTTTCGATATCGTCGTAATGGCATCTTTAGTTGCTTCTTTACACAATTATAATAGTAGCAACAAAAAAGATAAAATTTACGCCTCTGTTACTGGTTTTAAACTTTGCGAATTGCTCACTAGAAATGCGCGCTATGATCGCAATTCCTTTTCATTTGCCTTGAAATTCTGATCATTTTCATGTTCGATCAAGATGCTTTTGCATACCAAATTTCGTCACCATCGCAAAAGTCCTTCTTGGTGCTTCCATGTTTTTCCAAAAGAGTGTATATATACTATATATATAATTTACAGAGAATATCAAAACCTGTTAGACGAAAATAAAAGTATGAAATAGTAAAATACTAAAAGTGTACTGCGTAAAGTCCTAAAATATGTATGTTAATAAAATATATGCAGAAAAAATGAAACATTATCTACATTAGCAGTTCCTAGAACCTGATGGATTATGAATACCTGTAATTTAAATGTTGAGAAATTTGTTCAGAGAGTAGTGTCGATATTAATCTGAAAAAAATTGTAGTTTTATAATTATTCCACAAAAGTACTTAATGATTTTAAATGACAGTCCTGTTCTAACATATTTTCCACGCTTTTTTTTTTTTTTTTTTTTTTTTGTAATTTGATACTTTGAGTTATTATTCATGCTCTTTCGAATTTCTAAATACACTGATAGAAAATAAAATCCCAATAAACACTTTAGAGGAATGAAATGTAAAGCGGGTCTAAAGCATTTGTCTACGTAACATTTCATTTGTAAGGATTTATTTTAAATCCTATTCAAAGAATAGTATAGCATTAAATATTAATTGTATTTAATACTATAAATATCCTTAATATTTGTAAGGATTTTTTTAACTTATATTATCTAGACAGTTATTTTATGTTAAGTAGTTTTACTGTCATTGTCCCTTTACGTTTTTCTGTCAGAAAGCTAAGTTTTTGTTTCCGCGTATTCAAATGAGGTAGAAAGAGATAGTATTAAAAGGAAGATTTTGATTGCTTAGTCAAGTCTGAGTTCCGCCTGCTGAAGCTTAAGTTATTTATTGCAGTTATACTATAGCAGTCACTCTCTTCGATGTTGCGTTACTATTGGCAATAGTGCTTATCACGCCGGTTTATATTTGAGCCAACTTGCGCGTTATTCATTTCTCTGTGGTTTTTTGGCTAACGTAAGGTTTAACTTAAATTACCTTTTGGCTTTCTGATTTATCTTCAGTTAGTGGTTGGCTAACTTAAGATTTTTTAATTTGAGTCCATTACTTTTTAGTTAGGCCATAAATGCTAGCTGATTTATAAACACAATAATAATAAATGCCTTCTTTACATTAATTTGGGTTTTGAATATCAGTTCCAGCCCAACCTCCATGAAGGAAGATCTCTTGTTACGCTGCCATAATATACCAATAGCTTATCCATCTTCGCTATAATTTGTTCACACCAACCTGAAAAGTGGCCTTTTAACATAATTATCAATCTTTTATTTTAAAAATACCATCTTCCTGCAGAATTTACTTCTGCCTTGAATATTTTCTCGTGATTACCTTGCTATATTTGCACTATTAAATCGAGCCACATGCCAATGAGCCTATTAATCGTAAAATCTTTCCTATCCGCTTTTTTAGTGTTTGTATTGTGTATAAAAAACTATGAAAAATACAAAAAAAAATCTTAAAATATAAAACTACAACCCTCTAGCCTGTATCAAGTAAACTAATGCAATTTTCTTATTTCTGCTCACTATATTTAATTCTGATGAGGAGGTAAATGGTTTTAAACCATTCGCACTCCGTAATTTGAAAGCATTGGCATTGGGTTCTGAATAAAAGGGTCTATTTCACCCTTCTTAAGTTCTGTTTTATGTTACACATAGCAACAAATCTCTTACACGTCTATTCAAGGATTTACACAAATTATATTTAGTTAAAAGCATAATCCATACACATTAATGTTACAAAGTCACAGTTTAAAAGTAGGGCGTGAGAAGAGCCCTAACAAATAAAGTGGTAATACATTAATAACCATTCGGCGATGTTGAATGCAATCATGCATTGTGTCGTACAGGGGCCGCATGACAATTTTGTGGAATAGAATACCATGCATGTTGCACATGATCAGTCAAATCAGCAAACGCTCGAGCTCGTTTTGAATGACACTAGACTTCGCGTCTAATCATGTTTCATACATGCTCGATACTAGAAAAATCGAGTGATCTCGCCGATCAACACAACATGTCAATATTCTATAAAGCACGTTGGGAGATAAAAGCTGAATGTGGAGAAACATTATGCTGTTGGAAAAAGACTTAGAATATTGCTCAAGAATGGCAGCACAACCAATGCAATCTCCTGTCTGACGTACAAATTGGTTTTCAAGGTATGTAGAATAACGACGAGTGTGCTCTGGCAATCTTGAGAAAGAGAATTTATCCATAGACCATAATTCCTTGTGCATACTTGATAATCATACTATTGTTTACGTTTACTCAGCACATTTATCCTTACATGAACACAACAACCCTTGTATGAAGATGTAACCTATAAAGGTAAATAAAAACTCTCGATCTGGCGATTCTATAGAATTGTTGCTTATAAACAGTGGAAGACAACGGCGATTAACTGTTTACCTGTGTTAGACACCAGGTGCCCTCTTCTTCTGTCAACTGTACATCGAAGACTTAAGTGGTTCTTAAGCAGCGACAGAAGGCAGAAGGGAACTACATAGGTATGATGAAAAAAATTATAAGCCTCTCTTAGATGACCGCGCACGAACAGCGGCTGTGGTCATCTTAAAAAAGATGATATTTTGAAAATGCTTGGTGCTCTTGGTAAGTCGGTTCGACGAAATTTTTTAATTTCGCAAAAAAGACGTGAAAAAATATTAATCTCTTATAAACATGATCTATAGCAGGCATCTGTTAACAACGGAAAGCAGATTTTGCTAATATCTGAAAATGATTATGTCTTTCGCAGGTAAATGGCACAAGCTCGCTAGATGACAATCTGTCTGATAATGGAGGTTTGAGAGCAGCGTACCTGGTAAGAATATCATTTTAATTTTAGGAAACCGTAATATGAAATTAGAAACTAAGCGAAGCGAAATTTAGTGCCGTGTAAAAACCTGGGATTTACGATATGTTAAATACAGAATTTTAAATAGTTTCTAAACAAATATTTAACTGATGTATTAAAACAGAACTGTTTACAAATAATTATTTGAATCTGTATAGAATATGAATCTTTCATAATGCTTATTTCTTTGATTCGAAGATGTTAAGATTTTAAATGATCCCCCTTAATTTTAGTATAACCAACAAAGCAAAAAAACACTTTTACTCTATACAAATAAAACAACAAAAGAAATTAAACATATAAATAAATATATCTAACAAATATTCTTAAGCTGTGGTTTTCATTTATTAATAATAATTGTACTGTCATTTTGGGGTAGGGGAATTTGGGAAAACTAAATACTTGGAAATAATTTTTAATTCGGAAAGTTTGGCAGTTTTCAGCAACATTTGAAGGAAGCCAATGGGCTCCTCAGATCCAAAGCACTACGTTAAATTCTGGATAAAATCACACGATGATAAAATCATTCTTAAATCAGTAATTCTTAAGAATGGGTTATAAACCAGGTGATTCGTTTGGAAAATACCCTGAACTACATCGCACAACAGAAAATTCAAGAATTTCCACATGCTAAGGAAACGCCTGTGCTCGAACTGAAGTATTATATTGCAGTTATTCCTACACTTACGGCTCCTCGTTAAACGTTTTGCTGTCATATCTTCTGTTACGGTATTTTAGCTTTTTTTTCCTTTTATAAATATTCTTGATTTTTCATGCTTTTTGTTACGATTAGGAGAGAAAAACACATAGTTCTAAGTTTTAGGTTACAGCAACATTTCCAAAAATTCAGCACTGTATTTGTAAAATTTTTAATAGTGGCATAGTGGGGCACATCCAAAAACCTTCCTCTGTACACAGAGAAACATTGAATGGAAAAGACCTTATAGGTTACTTTTAACCTTCTTTATTTATACTAGAGGCAGCACAGCACAAACCAGTCCATACATTTTAGCCATGTTTAGTTTTTAAAGACCCTCATTTTTCAGAGAAATATTCCAGATTTTTAGGATATAAAATCAATTCTTTGAAAAGTAATTTTTATGTTATTTTTTTGGCTATATGCTGATCTCTTTATTCTACATTAGTTTTAAATTTTTACCTTGAAATCTTGCCTAATATCGAACGACGAACATCTAGCGTGCCCAAAGGGGAATCACTGAATCACCAGGACCAGACAACTGTAACTTTGTTTCAATGCAATATATCCTTCGGTTAGCTCATTCAAAATAGAAAGGTTGGTGCACATCTGTGTTTCATTTCCTTTTTTTCTTTGGCGTCTTTTTTTTTCGGGGGGGGGGAGAAGAGGTATAGTTATCAACTAAGATATTGTTGAAGTGCTTTTCTGTAGGTCAGGGAAAATTTTATCAGTTATCTCTTTGATTTTTCTCTAGGTGACGCTAAATCTGCTACGTTAATAAGAATCTAGTCTTTTTTTTAATTCGCAGGTAAAATTTTTACTCCATTACGCTTTTCCCACCAATGCTCGCTTCAGCGCTCTTTTCGAAGATCTATTCATTGAGTTCGCTGCGGGCACACCCACAGAATGAAAACGTTAAATGCTATCTTTATAAAATTTTACCTGTGTATTCGTGGCCTGATCAAACGTCTAGGCCGTTCCTTTTCGAAATTCCGACTTTAAGAGGTAGCCCGCCAGAAAGGTTTAAGGGGTGTTGGAACCCCAAAATCCTTACAAAATTGTCATTTCGGATTTTTCCATTTTCAAATTCTTTACACTTTTATCTTTCTAAAAATACCATTCTTTAATCTCTATGAGAATCAGAACTTTAAAAAATCTAGTTTTAATTTGTCATCGACTGCTTTGATCAGTGAGGATTTTTACATAAAAACGGGTTTTTCTCCAAACGTAATTTTTTTATACTCGATGTACCTTTTCTCAGGAACTACTGCTCGCAGGTATCAAAAATTTTAATGGTTTATTTATTAGGTTTCCTAATATTTACTGAAATGAGCTTTTTGTGATAAACTTAAAAAAAAAAAGAAAAAATTTGTGTGCGAAAAGTGCTAAATTTTACTATGCCTAACAAAATATTCTGTAAATTACTCTAAAATTCAAACTGTTGCAAAAGCTCATTTCAGTATAATCAGATAAATATACTTAAATTACACAAAAAATCTCAAGCGTTTATCTACAGCAGATTTTGAGAAAAGGTACACCGAAGATGGCCAATTTAACATTGTAGGTATAGGGGTTGCTGATAGCCTTTAGTGTGTATTTTAGGACAATCAAAACTTTTTCTGATCTTATAATATTAATTAATTTCCTAGGCATAATGCTACCTTTCATGCGAAAGCTGTTCCCAAATAGAGATTACGATCATTGCTCATGGCTACAGCTTCCGTCGAGCTTTCTTAAAGTACCCCGCAGTTTTAGTTTGTATGCTCGCTATAAATTTTGAATTACAGTAACTTTTACAATACTGAATGACAAGGAGTTCCTGCTACGGGTTACCATTAGCTTACATATGGCATGATGGGCTATGAAAGCGTTATAGAAAGTTAATAGCAAATCACTAGATCAATCTGCATAAAATCAAGATCTCATAAGAGTTGAGATGAGAAGAATTTAGCATGGAATACCAAACAAAAGCAGCTGCATCCATTATCTGACAACCGACACTGAGAAAATACATCTTAACTTGTACTTGATAAGGTAACCTATGCAAACAAAAACGTGAAGGTCACTCACTGTTTTTAAAAGAGAACTCACACTTAAATTCCTAATGACTCGATTTCCGTGTCTATGTTTTTTCCAAATGATTATCGTAAAATGAATTTCATTTAGGAAGTTATTGACTTGTAAAATATTCTCCATGCTATATGTCTGCGACAAATTATGTAATATTGAAATATGTTATACTGGCAGTACAAGAAATTTTATGTCATAAACAATTTTTATAAGAAACACCATCTCTTATTATCATGTGAAATATGATTAATATTTAAAACAAAGTCATTCAAATCTTATTTTGAACAGAATAAAATAATATCAGATTCAGAATATTTTGTGCAAAATTCGCGTATACCACAAGGAGATCAGACATTTCAGATTTACTTAAAATATAGTGAACATTTGATTCTGTGAAATTTAGCAAAATATCATTAATATATAGTTTGTACAATGTCGGAGGTATACTTGAAGCATTTCATATAAATTTTGTAGTTTTTGAATAGCAAGGTTCTTTTTCATCTGCTTACCAATCATACATTTTAAAAAGCTTATTTATATATTTAAATTTTTAATCTCTACCAAACCATACACTACTGTACTGTTTTGGTATAGTATTGTATTTTCCACCATATAGTACGTTATTTTACCTCTAGCATAGCAATAAGAATTTTTCACTGATGATAATTACATTGCTAATTAGCTATATTCAGCGAAATGTTATGTCAAGAATAAATATTGTTGCGTGCGTCCAGTCTCGCGATACAAGTTTAATGTACACAGGTCCGATGATAGGATGATAAAATTTATTTTATTAAAAATATTTCAGAGTTCTGGAATTTTCTACAAAAATACTCTTCTGGTGTTCACAGTATCACATAGTAAAATCAATAGTTACACTTAAACTACTAGCGTTAAACACTACGCAATGCAAAACGTATCTAAAGAGAAAGCTAACTCGGAGATACTACTCGGAAATCACGCTCAGCTAACAACTAACAATAACAACTCAGAGCAGGTGCTCTATCAAGCTGGGCGAAATCTATCTAAAATTAGATAGAATTCGCCCAGCTGCCAAGGTATTGCCAGCCCTTTCTGTTGCTCGAAGACATATGAGGGTTCCAATCATGGTAACAGCTAATATAGTGATTAGTTACATTTATTCGATTTCAATACCTATTGCAGTGATAGACCGGAACCAAATGTCGCCAAACAGTCACCAAATTTATCGGCTTTTGGCGACGTCTTGCAAATTTTCGCGACAGAAATTAGTCACTAAAGCCGCTGCCAGTATGGCGATATCTCACCAAATTACCGAGATACCAATTTAGTCAATGTTAAAGGGACTAGACCATGTATTCTTAGTTTTCCGGCGTAGCCTGTCACACTTGATTTTTTTATGTTCCATTATCCAGTAATTTCACATACAGTTGCACTAAAACGATATATTTGTGCACAGAATTCGTAACACTGATCCCTTCCCAATGACTGCACATCCCGGGCAGTACAATTCCTGGATAGGAAGCCATACTTACAACTAAGGCAAATCAATGCAATACTTAAACAATCATCTCAATAAATAACATGAAACAAATCAAATACTAAATCAATAAATAAATGCATAAATTTACAAATTTACGTACAGATAAGACCATGGTCTTATTATAATATTTACATTATATACACTATCGGGATTACGTACTATGCTCGTAGTAAGCTTACAATTCGGTGAGTGATTTAAGTATCCGAACAACGATGTTCAGCCTGTTTAGAACTGTGTATGGACCATCTCAAGGTGTCTGTAGTTTGGGAGAGAGTCATTTCCGTCCAATTGGACTACGAAACACTTCGAAACAGAGTCAAAACACTCGAAACTATAAGAAAAGGCAAGATTAGACAGCCTATCAACATCCTTGTAGAGCTGCTGGAGTGTTTCTGTGGCCTTCCATTGACGGCATTTTTATTGAAATCAATTGTAGTCTTTTAAACATTTCTCCTCATAGGTCAGCTCCAACGCGCCGAATAGAGCTTCAAAATCTAGCCTTAGGTTTTGGGGAAGAGTTTGAAGTATATCCGCTGCTTCTGTCCTCAGAAAAACGGCGAGGCCTTTGCTTAGCTTGTTATTGTTAGTTCGACTCACTGCAAATTGAGCTTATTTCACAATTTTTATTCATAGTCGAGAAAAACCAGCACAATTTATCCAGCATAAACTAAGCTACATT